TTTTTTTCATGCCTAAACTTGTGCGTAGCCCGTGCGATTCACAGGTTAATAATATTAAATAATAATTATAAATAGGTTTCAAGTTCAATCACCCAATGAAGAAGTGGGGAACCATTATCCTATTTTAAAAGAGGAAAAAAAATTATAAATTAAAGATGTTGAAGAATTTTCATCGGCTTGCTACTCCCTTTCACTTTTGTATTCAAGAAAGTACTCAAAGTTATATGACAAAATAAACCCACTAAAAATCAAAAAATATGTAAATTTACTTCTCACTGAAAAAAAAAAGAGTCAAAAGGAAAATTGTGTGTGACGTAGCCAAAAATTTGTCTCGTAACTTAGGCAAATCTATTCCTATTCAATCTTCTAACTAAACAAGAAACCTTCATAGTTAGATCTCAAAAAATAATAATAATAATTGAAAAAAAAACATTTGGAGAAGAAACTCAATACAAAAAATAAAGAGAATTTAAATTCAGAGTATGATCACAATTATATTAGAAGGAAAATCACACATTTTTAAAAATCAAGTTATAATTTTTGATTGGATCTTATTAGGTTCAATTATAACTCATGATAGCAAAAAATAATTAGTTTCGGATTATCTATAATTATGTTGATTATTTATGGTCATGTCACATTTATTAATTGAATTTTAATATAATTTTTTATTATAATCATTGAATTGTAGATGTATTTTAAAAGTTAATAACTTTTATATTTTTTATCAGTTTTATATAAATAATGTGTCAAATTAATCATCTCCTGATGAACTTCGATTTAACATCCATATTGTATGTATAAAAAATTATATTTATCTTTATAACAATAATAAAATTATTTTTTAATATTAATTAAAGAAATAAAATTATTTATCAATTAATATATTTATATTTCAAGTAGTTATACAATATAAGGTATAAAAATTACTATAATATAACACATGTAAGTTCAAGTAACAAGTGTCAATTCTAAAATATATAACAATATATATTTTTTGTAAAAAAATAATTAAAAATTAAAATATTTTTTTCATTAACTTAAAAAATTTAAGAATAATTTTTTTAAGAATTTAAGAATAATTTTATGTCTCAGTTTAAGGGTATATATTGTAGACTATGTTGAAAAACTAACTTAATAGCTAATAATAAACAAGCTTCGGCCCGAGTTGATGACTTTAGATGTAAAAGAGTTGAGTCGAGCTCGATTTTCAAACTCTCTAGATCGGCTTGTTTATTAATATTAATAAGTCGGATTTGAGCTTTAACGAGTTAAGGTAAAAATATAGAAATTAAGCGAAAATTTTCATTCTTGAGCCTTAACGACCCGAATATCTAAAAAAAAAAAAATGAGCTGAGTATAATAAAAATATTAATAAAATTAGGTGATATAAGTTCAAACTTTTATAAAAGTACTAGTCCATCGATATTATGATTTATTTGAACACAAGAAACTTACGAGAGCACTTTTGAACAAGTATTAAACATGATTTATTTGAAAACAAGAAACTCACAAGCACTAATTTAAACAAGTTATAAGTTTGAAAAATCATATATAGTAGTATTTATAATGAGAATATATTGTGCATTGATGGAATGCAGTGTTAAAGCAACTATTGAGAGGTACAAAAAAGCATCCTCAGATTCCCCAAATACTGTCTCTATATCAGAAGCAAACACACAGGTATATATATAAATATGGATTAAAATTTTTTCTTACTTATTCGACTAATTGTATGTATCATATATGTCATTAATTATCTTCAAATTAAGGAGTTTAATGCTAATTTCAAATCAAATAATTGTTCCGTGTTTAAGATTTTTTAATTTCCTACTGATATTTGCATCAAATCTCATTTTTTTTGTTCTCTTTTGTAACTATGACTTTTCAGTATTACCAGCAAGAGGCGTCGAAACTGCGCGCGCAGATCAGTAATTTGCAGAATCAAAACAGGTAATTATTATTATTATTATTATTATTATTATTATTATTATTATTATTATTATTATTATTATTGTTATTATTAGAGCCTTAATTTATTTAATTATCTAGGAACATGCTTGGTGAGTCTCTTGGGGGACTGACATTGAGGGAGCTCAAGAATTTGGAGGGTAGGGTTGAAAAAGGAATTAGCAAAATCAGGACTAAAAAGGTGCTTTGTAAATTACAATAAATTAAAATTTTTAAAATTATAATTAATTGAAATGATGCATTATTATTATAATTATTATTATTATATTTTTCTGTCATACAGAATGAATTGCTCTATGCTGAAATTGAGTACATGCAAAAGAGGGTAAGGCAATGTATTTTGTGTTATTTATATATATTAATTCAATCACTTTATTAGTTAATTGATGAAATTAAGTACTGTAGATAATGAAGTAGCTAGTACAAAAAAATATTTATTTTAAGCATTTATTTCTTAGGAGTACAAAAGTATCACAAATTATTGTCTGAAGTGGCGGTCTAACTGTTAGGCAGGTCGTCTCATCATAGATATATGAAATGTCTAACCGTTAGGTGCAATACAAAAACAAAATGTAGCTTATTGATTAACTGGATTAGTAAGTAAAAATGGAGGTAGTAGATCATATAAAGAGAGATAACTACACATTTCTATTAAGAAACACACAAAAGCTATGGTAAGACCTTCTAATGAGTTTATCTTTTTTCGACTTTTATTGTCCGAAAATATCAACTTGCGACGAAATTTTATGCTATTATTAACTTTGTACATGTTTTTTTTTTCTTGTTCGACTCCAAATTATGAACGAATT